AAAAAAAAAAAAAAAAAAAAAAAAAAAAAAAAAAAAATAAAAAAAATTAAAATAAAAGTCTGTTCCCCTTTAGATTCATTCATAAATATTATATAAAAAAAGTTTTTTTTACATCCTTTATAACGATCCATCAATCCCCTCTGACCCTCTTAATAACAAATCCTTTTATTTATAATCCAAAGAATGTCCGCTGCTGTCTCTGCTGCCTCCACTAGTGTTTCTGCTGCTGTACCAATGTCTAACCCTGGAGCTCAACTTTCTGTTGAGCAACAACAGCAAATTGCAGCTGCCCAGGCTCAAGCAGCTGCCCAAGCTCAATTTGGTGTCCCCCCTGCTGCTCCTCAAGCCTCTGCATCTCTTTACGTCGGTGAGCTGGATCCCTCCGTCACAGAGGCTATGCTTTTCGAAATGTTCAACACAATTGGCCCTGTGGCCAGCATCCGTGTTTGCAGAGACGCTGTTACCAGAAGATCTCTTGGCTATGCTTACGTTAACTTCCACAACGTTTTAGATGGTATGTGTTCCTATTTAATTCTTTTTGGTATTTATAGCATATATTTCTGGAGGAGTCTTTAAATCATAAAAATCTACAAGATGATCTAAAAATTGCTGCGCATTATGGCTCTTGTGTTGGAATTTGGGCAATTGTTAGATGTTGATTATTTATTCAAACTTTGATTTGTGTAACATTTTAATTACTTACTAAATATAGGCGAACGTGCTCTTGATACGCTCAATTATACTGTAATCAAGAATAAACCATGCAGAATCATGTGGTCTCAACGTGATCCTGCTCTTCGAAAAACTGGAACTGGCAATATTTTTATCAAGAACCTTGACAAATCAATTGATAACAAGGCTCTTCATGATACATTTAACGTATTTGGTAACATTCTTAGTTGTAAAGTTGCTATGGAAGATGGTTCTTCTAAAGGTTATGGTTTCGTTCATTATGAAACTGCTGAAGCCGCTGAAAATGCTATCAAGCATGTTAACGGAATGTTGTTAAAAGACAAAAAAGTGTATGTTCTTAATTTAGAATGTATTTTGCTACTTATTACTTTTTTATAATATTCTTTTTTTAACTATTTTAGATACGTTGGTCATCATATCCCTAAAAAAGAACGACAATCAAAACTTGAAGAAATAAAAGCAAAATTCACTAATATTTATGTGAAAAATCTTGATACTGAAGTTAGTTTAGAAGAATTTAGTGAAATCTTTGCTAGATTCGGTAAAATTACTTCTGTCGTCATCACAACAGATGAAAACGGGAATTCCAAGGTAAAGCGAAAAGTTTAATGTGTGAATTCATCGAATAAGTCTTTATGTTCATCTTTTTGATTCATACTAGGGCTTTGGTTTCGTAAACTATGAAAATCATGAGGAAGCTGCTAATGCAGTTAATGAACTTCATGATACAGATCTCAAGGGTAAAAAGCTATTTGTAGCTCGCGCCCAGAAAAAACATGAGCGTGAAGAAGAACTAAGGCGTCAGTACGAACAAGCTAAAATGGAAAAGTTGAATAAATATCAAGGTGTGAATCTTTACATCAAGAATCTTGAGGACGATATTGATGATGAAAAACTACGCCAAGAATTTTCTGTATACGGTGTAATTACGAGCGCCAAAGTCATGAGGGATGAGAGGGACCAATCAAAGGGTTTCGGTTTCGTATGTTTCTCTTCTCCTGATGAAGCTACTAAAGCTGTGACCGAAATGAATGGAAGAATGATTGGTAATAAGCCAATATACGTCGCACTTGCCCAACGTAAGGATGTACGCAAATCTCAATTGGAAGCCCAAATTAACCAAAGGAATCAAATCCGTATGCAACAACAACAACAAGCGGTAAACATATTTTTGTTGCTCTATAAAGATTTTTCTTAATTTCTCATCTTTTTTGTAAAATTTACAGGCAGTTGGAATGGGGGCAGGTGCTTACATGCCTGTTGGCTATGCTCATCCAGGAACATACGGTAGACTTGGTCGTCCTACTCACTTTTACGGTGGTGTTGGAATGATAAACGCCGTTCCCGGTACAACTCCCAATATCCGTACTAACAACTACAATATGGTCAATCGTTCTAACGGACGACCTCAAAATGCTCCACAAAACGCTGGTCGTCCTAATGCCAGTAATCGTGGTGCTAGGAATCAATATCAACCAACCAAACAACATAATCAATATTCTCAAAATAATCGTGTTGCCAACGGACAAGGTTTATCCAATTCTCGTAACTCCGCAACGGCTTCACAAAGCAGCTCTTCCGCTATAAGCTCTGTATTTGATACTAGAAAATTTGTTGGAGTTTCACCTGAGGCACAAAAGCAGTTGCTTGGTGAACAACTTTTTCCTAAAATCTCTGATCGTCAACCTGAGTTGGCCGGTAAAATTACTGGCATGTTGCTAGAGATGGATAACGCTGAATTGTTGCACCTTTTGGAAAACAAAGCCGCTCTTGACTCTAAGGTAAGAAAAATATTTATTTCTTGGTTCAAATTAAAGAGATTTGAATATGTTTTTTACTTTTTTCACCATTTTAAAAGGTCGATGAAGCCGTTAGTGTGTTGAAACAACATGCTATGGCCACTGGTCAAAACTTCCCCGACTCTGAATAATAGGTTTTAATATCATGTATGTAATGCGTCATATATAACTAAACTGAGATAAGCCTTAAATTCTTTAATCAAATGCTATTTATACCACATATTACATTATTAGACCGATAATGGAGAGAAGAAATTAAAATAATCCTTAAAAAGTATAAACGAGTGACAATCGACGGTTAATGTATGCATAATATCCAAATAATATCCCTTCTTCCTTATATACCAGTTTTTTTTATTTTATTTGCCTATATTTTATTATTTTTACTTTTTTTTTTTACCTTTTGCATGTGCATATATTAAGAAAGCAGGAGAAAGGGATGGATCTGGATAGTTTGCTATTTGTTGTTTGTTTTTAGTTTACTACTTTTTTATTGCGCTCTCTTAACATTTGTAACCTTTTGTTTTCTTTTAATAAATCTTTTGTTGGAACATTTGTGCAAGGGCAAAATTACAGACAGGGTTGTTTCAAGTTAATAATATATAATAATCATTTTAAATTGTTTAGTTATTTATTACTTATTTTTTCTATTTAATTTTATAACTAAAATGTATATATTATATATACACATTGTCAAATTACTGTTATATACTGTTAGGTTTTTAATAGACATTTTAATCTAATATATTATCAATAAATTTTCTTTTCGATTTTTTAATTAAAAAAAAAACTTTATAATCAATTGAAATCTGAAGATTTTTTTATATTAAATATAATTTTTTTTTTATTAAAAAATAAGTTTTTATTTTTATTTTAGCTTTTCTTATTTTATTTTTTAGAAACTTATAGGGTATATTTGCTAGCAGGTAAAATGCAATTTATTTAGCATAAGTCTGATTCTTGTAATTTTTCCTTTATATAAGAAATATTATATAAAAAAAATTATTTTATTTTTTTTTTTTAGATTTTAGTAATTTATTTTGCAAATAATAGTATATATTTATATATATATAAACTTTATATTATTTTTTTTTATATTGCAATTTTTTATATTTTATATAACATTTCTGATTAGGATAAATGTTTTCCTATTTGCAATTATAGATTTATAACTAGTACTTCTGGTAGACAATAACAATATAGATGAAATATTGGTTTTGATCCTATTACATCATGATTACATACTGTAATTTCAGATTTGTTTATATAATACTTCTATAATTCATTAAGTTTAATGCATTCATAAATTTAATTATATATTGATAAATATCTTTTGCTGCTTGAGATTTATAAACCTTTTTAAACTAAAAGAAAATTAAAATAAATTAAATTAAATAAATTAATAAACTAAAAAAAAAAACCTTTATAGCTCATTGGAAATATTTGCTATTAATTGAATGAGGTATTTTAGAAATTAGGATTTATAAATACATAAACTAATTACCATATAAGAGTAAATAAAAAAAAATTTTTTTATATTGCAATTTATTTATTTTATTAATACTTTAAACCTAATAAATATTTATTTGTATTTTACCTGTATAATTGTACATGTGGGATCCTTTTCAGGATGACAAGCAGTTTATAACTAATGTTAAATAGTCTGTTTTGTTTTTTCATATATGAGGTATTGATATATTACAAATCGAATTTTCTAATAAAGTTTTAAATATACTGCAGCAAAAAAAAAAAGAAAAACTATTGATTTGACAGTTATATATATTACCCAAATTATTTTAGAATGCTATAATTATAATTTAAGATAGAATTCCATTTACTTATAATAGAAAAACATTTTTTATTAACTGGTCTAAAAAGAAAAAAATCAAGTGCAAGCTGATATAATTCTTGATGACATATCTAAATAGACTATATTGATTCAAGACAAATATTCCAAAAAGAATGAAAGCAGAAAAAAAAAAGTTTTTTTTAATGAATAAAAATGAGAAATTTAAAGTGTTCATAAGCTTAAATTTAAAATAAAGTTATTTAAAAAAATAATTCATAATTGATTTATTATTAAAGTAATTTGTTAAAAAATTTTATTATACTAAACATTTCCTATGTATATATTTTTTTATATATATAATGATAATAAAAAATTCAATATAGGTTTTTATTAAATGAAAAAAAGTATTTAAAAACCAATCATATCCAAGAGTCTAGGATAAGAAGTTGACTCTGAACTCCGGGGTCTAACTGAGTCAAGTATAATTCGAATTTTCTTTTTATCTGCGAGCGAGAGAAAAGCATTTCGGAATGAGATTTGGTTATCTTCATAGTTTTGTTACAACGTTAGTAAAAACGCGTCAATCATCAAAACATTTTTGTACTTTCTATTGCAATGTTAAGACGAAAGCAGTTCCGGCAGTTGATTTATTTTTTAATAAACGAGTACAAACTACGTTGCAACCATTCTGTCGCGTAAAAACACGCTATTCTTTTATCACTCGTTCAAAAAAGACCTTTACTTTATCCGTAAATAACTTGCCTAAAATTTCGGATAAACCGCAAAACGATAATTTATACAAAGGACCAGAATGGGATAGTACAGTTGGTAAGGCAGTGAGACTTGCTCAACTTGAATATCCAGAATGCATTATTTTAACACGCGTTGGTTCTTTTTGGGAGGTAACTTTTAGAATGAAACATCGCTTCTTATATTTTTAATTTCTTGTAATTTTTTTTTTTTTTTTTGGATTATCTTATACTTTTATTAAGTTATATTTCGAGCAAGCCACGAGAATTGCGCCGCTTTTAGATATCAAACTGACTAAAAAGAAATTTGGTCAAGAATATATGCCTTTTGCAGGTTTTCCACTCCAACATCTTGATAGATATCTTACAACATTGGTTAATGATCATGGTTTCGCAGTAGCTATTTGTGAGGAGTTTCTCAACGACAATAATGATGAAAAAATTAAATTCAAGCGTCGTGTTACGCGTATAATTACTCCCGGAACACTTATTGATGAAAGTTTTTTACAACAGGATAAAAATAATTTTTTACTTGCGATTTCATTAGACGAAAAAACAAATCATGTTGGATTAGCATGGATTGACATAACAACCGGTCAGTTTTTCATGGCAATGTGCGGATTAGGATCGCTATCCGACGACTTGGCACGTATTCGACCTAGTGAAATTGTTCTAAGTGAACAATTTAAAGTAAATAAAGAACATCTTATATGGCAACAATTGACTCATGAAAAGTATGCTTTTGCATACGAGTCAACCAAGTCTTTTGATGCTACCATACCTCAACCATGGCAATCTGATTTGCAATACAAAGGTGGAATCGAAGAAGTCTTTTCCGGAGTTGAAATACAAGCTAGTGCAGCTTTACATAGATATATTAGCAAAAACCTAATTGAAAGATTTCCTAAAATCCAACTTCCAATAAGAATCAATCCGGAAAATACAATGATCATTGATGAAACAGCTTTGCGATCACTGGAAGTTATAACATCAATTCGTAATAATTCTAAAAAAGGGAGTTTAGTTCATGCTATTGAGAGAACAAAAACAAAATCCGGCGCAAGAGCTCTCGATCAATGGCTACGTAAGCATGATTTCAATCATTATACACTTAATTTTACGAAAAGCTAACATTTCCTATTTGCTAGGCTTCCCAACAACGTCATTAAGTGAAATTAATAAGCGTTTAAGTATTGTGGAATACTTTTATCACAATACACATCTCACTGGTGACATTCGACAAATTTTGCAAGAAGTTGATGATGCACAAAGAACTTCACAAAAAATTTCTTTTGATTATTGTGGACCTGATGATTTCATTAAACTTAAGCGAACATTTGAGGCTATGGGAATGATAAAAATGCGTCTACAAGAAGAATTAAAATTAATGTCAAGTTCTAGTTTAGAAGCACTTGTTGAGCGTTTACAATCTCAAGGTGATATAATACAAATAATAACTGAAGCTATAGATGAGGACGCACTATTAAGAAATAAAGAAATACCTGTTAAATCAGGATTAGCTATTGATGATATTAATTCAGAAATTGAAGGTGTGGCAACTGAGTTTTCAAGCAATGAAGATAAAGGAGTAGAATTAGATAATAAAGGAAAGAACAAAAATTTTAATAAAAAAAGGAAAGATAAGAGAAATACAATAAAAAAAGATGATAAAAAATCTGCTGATATAAATTTTGAAGAGGTGCAAGATCTCATCAAAGCAGATAATTGGATTATTAAGAAAAGGTGTAGTTGTGTTAAATTATGCTATCTTTATGAAGGATGAGTTGTGAATAATTCGTATCGATATTTAGTTTTTCGGATGAAATAATGAGTCTTCATAATCAGCTTGAAGCTCTATACTTTGATATGATAAAACTCCGAAAACGATGGCAAACTGAACTAAGTAAATTATTGATAACATTATCGCTTTTCCATATAATTTATTCAATAATTATATGTATTTTTCCGTAATATTTATTCAAAGCAAAATTTATAATAGTTCCAAAAGCTATTTTAACATTATGCTCTTTTTTTTTTATAGAATCACCATCATTAGAGCTACGATCACATCCAAGTTTTGGATTCATTGTAGTTGTTAAACGAAAAAATAATTGTAATTTAGAGCAAGCTCTAAATGCAACTCGTATTCAGCATTTTAAATCTAAGAAATGGTTTATTGTTCAGGTAGATTTTGGAATATTTATATATTTCTAAAATAATATTTATAATGAAAGTTGGTTTTGCTAGACATGGACACATCTCGGAGGTAAAATTGAAGGAATAAAATCGAAGATACGTGGAACTGAACTGAATTCATTTCAGATTATTAGAAATAAGGTATATATACTAAAACTAAAATACTTTTTTTTCATACTTTTGTACAAGTTTGCGTTATAATTTGATTATTCGTTACAGATTTCTGATAATTGGAATGTAACAATTCGTAATACGACTGTAATTGATGAAATCGATATTGCATCATCTTTGGCAGCTTTAGCCAGAGAACAAAACTTTGTTCGACCTATTATGAATAACAGGTACGTAAGTTATTTTCTGGAAAAAATTTTAAATTATATTGTCGAAAAAATCTTGGATTTAAAATTTAATCCTCTAGTAATATTCATAAAATCGTTGGTGGCCGTCATCCCATTGTTGAATCCGGACTTCAGATGAAAGAACGTCCATTTACGAAAAACGATTGTTGTGTCGGAGATAAAGAGCGAGTTTTATTATTGACAGGGTATTTTTCATTCTTTTTTGAATTTATTATTTATTCGATTATCATATAATTTACTTCAGTATTTTATGCCAAAGTCCAAATATGGGAGGAAAGAGTACATTTCTGAGACAAAATGCGATTATTTCAATTCTGGCACAAATTGGTTCATTTGTTCCAGCTGATTATGCAGAAATTGGTATCGTGGATCGAATATTTAGCAGAGTATGTTATCAATATGATTATTTAAAATGTTTATAGTCATTAATTTTGATTTTTATTAGGTTGGTGCTTCTGATAATTTGTATGGTGACCAATCAACATTTATGGTCGAAATGATCGAAACTGCAAATATTCTTAAACATGCTACGTCTAAGTCATTTGTATGTATATAAAATATAATTTTAGGTTCAATATACTAATTTATTATCAAAATTGTAAAAGGTAATTATGGATGAAATTGGTCGAGGAACGGCAATTTTAGATGGAATTGCTATATCTTACGCAACTTTGCATCAACTACATTATGTAAATAAATGTCGAACTTTGTTTGCGACACATTTTCACGAATTAGCGAATATGACAAATCATTTTGAGCATGTTGCTTATTATTGTACTGATATTAAGGAAATTGAGGTAATTATCATAAATTATTTTTTTTATAAGAGAGAATTCTCAATTTTATTTTATTATAATGAACAGAACGGAAGTTTTCATTATCTTCACAAAGTAAGGAGAGGAGTAAACCAAAATTCGGCAGCAATCAAAACTGCAAGATTAGCAGGTTTGTGATATTTATGAATAATCACATTGAAATTTCTAATTTAACATTCTATTCGTATACAGGAATGCCAAATTCTGTATTGGATGTTGCAAAGAATACTTTGCGTTCTTTACGGCTTTATAACAAATTCGTAGATTTAGATGCTAATATTATTCGGAATTTTAATTTAATAGAGTCTTGAAGTTTCTGCTACAAATAAATAAAAATAAATGTCACTCGTAAAAAAAATTCCTGATTAATGCCGTTTTTAGGTAGATCAGCGATTACAAATTTAAAATAATCGCTCCAATACTTAAAGTGATCAGAATGTTTTAAAAGAAATTATAAATTGGCTAGCAAGTATTAGCTGGAAAGTTGCCAATATAACATTATCTTTTTCCGACTACCCGATTTTTTATATTATGTATTATAATATTATTATCTTTTTTTCGTCGGCGAAAAAGTTGCACGGAAAAAAAGAAATTCTATAGGAAATTTCCTGTGGAATTTTGCCATATAAAAAATGGAAATCTTTTGATTGGACAAGTTAAATCGAATTATCGATTACAAAATATTTATTTAAACCCATTCGTATTAAACTTGATAAAAAAAAAAATATATATTTCCAAAAGGACTTACAATATTAACCCTGTCTCTTATACACATCTAGATGTGTATAAGAGACAGATCTAATAGTAAACTCAGTGAAGACCAATTAAGAGAATTGCAGAGGTGTACTTATTGTACGTATTTCTTTTAGTAAGAAAACCAACAATCCTTAATTTTTAGTCGCTAACTTTCTTCCTTTTTACTTGTAAATATATAAAACTACCTTAACGTAAAAAAGTTAATAAAAATGAGCTTCAGCAATGGTAAATTAGTTTCTACTTTAACAAAAAAAAATAATTGTCGTCTTAATTAAACTTTACTTTTTAATATATTAGGTATAAAGGTTTTTTGAAAGATTGCCCTACGGGCGAACTTGATAAAACAGAATTTCAAAAAATATATAAACAATTTTTCCCCTTCGGTGATCCTTCGAGATTTGCTGAATACGTGTTCGATGTGTTTGATGAAGATAAAAACGGCAAGATCGATTTTAAAGAATTTATATGTGCATTATCGGTCACTTCTCGAGGAAAGCTGGATGAGAAGTTAATATGTAAGTTTATTTTACTTATACTTACATCGAAATTAATGTTTGATATAACATTTTTTTGTTAAAACATAGGGGCTTTCCAACTTTATGATATCGATAATGATGGATACATAACACACGAAGAAATGTTACGGATCGTAGATGCCATATATAAGATGGTTGGCAGTATGGTAAAATTACCAGCCGACGAAGACACGCCCGAAAAACGGGTGAATAAAATATTCACCCTAATGGATAAGGTAATGATCTTATTTCTCATTTTTGTTATTAATAAGATATTGACCAAAATAATCTTTTGTATCATTAGAATCATGACGGCAAGCTTAGCATGGAGGAATTCAAAGAAGGGTCAAAACAAGATCCTACAATTGTTCAAGCTCTAAGCTTATATGATGGTCTTGTATGACATTATTTATTTTTAATAGATAATTTTTTTTTTGTTTAGCTTAACAGATATTTGGTTATAATTTTTTTTTATTGTACAGTAATATTTTATTATTATTATATTAGTATTATTATTATATTTATATTATGTTTAGTTATTTATAAATATCTTTTAGATAAGGTATTGTAAATTTTTTTATATTAAACATATTTGAAGTTCAGATCAGCCTGATCTTTAGCCTGATCTTCTGTAAAGAAGCTCTACTTTAAAATTCTAGAATTCCGAATTAATTTAAATTCTAGAATTCTAGAATTCTATAACATTTAATATAGTTAGTTTTAGTTTAAAAAAGGAAATAATCATCGAATAACAATTATACTAAAAAGGATATACAAATTATTACTAAAAATAGTTAGCCCAAGAAAGATAATACCTTGACTTCTATTGTGACATAATCAATGTCACCTGCGATGTTCATTATTTCTGCGCCTCTCGTGACTTTTATATTTTTCTTTGCTATGTATATATCTATCTTGATTTTTATCTCGGCTTCTTGATCTTCTATATTCTGATTTCTCTCGATTATTATGCCGATATCTCGGGGGGGACCTTGATCTTGATTTCGAGTACCTTCTGAATTTCTTTTCTTGATTATATTTGTTTTCTGCTTGGTGAAATTCGTTTGTATGAACGCGATGACGTGAAGAAAATGAATCAATTGATTTTTCGTGATGAAACCGACTTGGGGATTCATTACGTTTATTATAAGTAAATCGCTCCTCGTCAGGACTATTTCGCGGATTATAATTCGATATTCCAGTTATGCTTGATTTACCCTGTCTATTGAAATGTAAATCCTTAGAATATTGAAATATAGATCGATAATTTTGAGTTGCAGATGAAGAGGAATTTGTGCCTCTTCTATTAGCGTTATGACGCCAACAATCATCGAATCGCTGATCAGGAAGAATTTCTGGCATATATTGATTTACGGCTATATTTCTTTAAAATAAATGTTAAATTATATGAAATGTTAACGATATTTGTTCCATAAACTTACTAACTTACAGAGGTCGTTTAAACGGTCTATCTCTTGCTCCGAAACGAAGTTGACCTGATTCTTTTCGACCAGCGAAACCTCCTCCCATTCGTCTTGGAATCCAACCTTCCATTATTCTGCTTCTTTCATAATCAACTAAAATTTGGCGGCCATCAATTGTCATCTTGTATGCATACTACATGAAATATCGCTAAATGTATATATGTATATAAAACCAAGCATGTGTTTATATATCTTACTCTGTAAGCTTCTTGACAAGACCTTTCATGAGTGAATTCAATAAAAGCATAGCCACGAGAATCACCAGTTACTGTCGTAAACATGAATTAGAAGATTTATTTAATTATACATAAAGAAATGATTTCACTTAAACTTACCTATATTACGTACAAGACGTATCTTTTTGATTGTTCCAAATTTCTCAAAAACTTGCGTCAAAGTTTCTAGAAATGAAATAAAAATTATTATTATAATATTCATTATTATATAGTTACAATATAGTTGCCTTCTGTGGTATCTGGATTTAGTCGTCCAACAAATATTGTATGGAATGGATCACTGGTGACATCGTCTTTGTCCGAAGGTGGCACATCTTGAAAAATCAAATTTTAGTTACATAAATTTTTAAGTGTAAAATATAAAAATTGTTCATACAATTTGAGTTCTGTGCTCGCAAAATTCCGTGATCGTGTGGTACGGTATCTGTACCATCAATGCTCCCAGCTAATTAAGTATAATAAATTATAAAAGTTAGAATACAAGATATATAAATGAATTATTTATATAATCACCTTGAAGAGGATCGTATTTCTTCGCGTACCACATTTCTTGTATAATTAAAATTAAAAATTGAAGAAAATTTTTCGCATACCACATTTTTTTTTACGAATAAAGATTTCATTGATGGTTACACAGATCATCTAGAAATCAAGCTTAATAAATGAGTAATTGTTATTGGCTGATCAATTGTCAATTAATTATGATTTATAAATGACATATGTTTAAACAAGATAAAACTATTAATTTCACGTGGTATTTTTATAGTTTGGTGAAAAAAGGTAAATAAGGTAATATCATAAATATCATTTAAAATATATATATAGTGTTCTAATGAAAAAGCGCTGAAGTTTTATTACATTTCTTTAATTAATATATAATTTTATTTTCGGAAAAATGGAAAAACAATTCAGTATTGAGGTTGGTCCAGAAGATGAAAGAACCCGTCGTTCTATTCTTTCTCCTAATGAGCTTTTGAGCACTCCTGCTGATAAGCTCAATACCCTATATGACGTACTACAATACAGCGTCAAAACTCATGGTACTAAAAATGCTTTTGGCACAAGAGAAATTGAAAAAATAGTTGAAGAGGAAAAAGAAATTACTAAAATAGTAAATGGTGTAGAAACTAAAGAAACAAAGAAATGGAAATATTTTCAGCTTTCTGGTTTTAATTGGTTAAGTTATGAAGAAGCTGCAAAAGAAGCTGGAAAAATCGGTTCTGGGCTAGTGAAATTGGGCCTTCAAAAAGATGCCAAAGTGACAATTTTCGCTTCAACTAGGTATAATTAGCGCACATTCAATTCTCTTTATATTTTATTTTTCATCTATTTTAATTCTTGATTTCTTTTATAGCGCTAATTGGATGCTCGTAACACAAGGTAAATATTATATTTAGCATTCCATGAGGAAATTCGAAGGTTTCCTTACTATCGATTGATTCCTCTTTTTTATCTATTTAATAGGTTGTTTTACTCAGGGTTTAACTATTGTTACTGCATATGATACACTTGGTGAGGAAGGTCTTCTTCATTCAATGAATGAAACAGAGGTTCATGCCATGTATACCAATGCTGATTTGCTTCTTATGGTAAAAAATATTGCTGGAAAATGTCCTACACTTGAGCATGTGATATACGATGGTGAAGCAAAGGGAAATATTTTGGAAGAATTAAAGGCTGAACATCCTAACCTTAAACTTTATACATTGGACGAATTAAAACAATTGGGTGAAAATAATCCAGCTGATTCAAATCCTCCATCACCAGATGACTTGTGTTGTATCATGTACACATCTGGAAGCACAGGAAACCCAAAAGGTGTTTTATTAACTCATTCAAATTTAGTTGCTGCAAGTAAGTACATATACGTTTTTATATTATTATTTATTATTTTATGATATATGTGTTTTATAACATTTTCTTTTGCAGTTGCCGGTATTAATGCAATGCTTCAACCTATTGTTCGACCTGATGATGTTCTCCTCGCTTATCTTCCTCTTGCGCACGTTCTTGAATTTGCTGTAGAAAATGTCTGTATATTCTGGGGCATACCAATGGGTTATGGTACACCACGTACATTAACTGATTCGTCGGTACGCAATTGTCTCGGAGATATACGTGAGTTGAAGCCAACTTTAATGACAGGTGTACCAGCTGTATGGGAATCTATTAGAAAAGGAGTTTTAGCAAAGGTTCACTCTGGAAGTCCAACAGTACAAAAGGTATTTAGTGCTGCTTTCAAAGCAAAAGGTTGGCTAATGGATAAGGGCTTGCCAACTAAACTTTTGGATGCTGCAGTATTTAATAAAATTAAACAACAAACTGGTGGTCGATTGAGATATGCTTTGTCCGGTGGTGCACCAATTTCTAAAGAAACACAAGAATTCTTGTCCATTGCATTGTGTCCGATTTTGCAGGGTTATGGTATGACCGAAACTTGTGGGTAAGTAATTAACGCGGAAATTCCATAAATCAGTTATATTTATATTTAATATTTTATTTTATTATGTATTAAGAATGTGTACAGTTATGCCACCTGAACAATTTGCATATGGAAGTGTAGGTTCACCAGTGCCTTGTTTGGAGATTAAATTAGTTGATGTACTAGAAGCTGGTTATACATCTAAAAATACTCCTAACCCTCAAGGTGAAATTTGGATTCGTGGGCCAGTTATCACTAAAGGATACTATAAAAATGAAAAAGTGACTAAAGAAACGTTAACTGATGACGGCTGGCTTCAAACTGGTGATATTGGAGAATGGCTTCAAAATGGTACTCTAGCTATTATTGACCGTAAGAAAAATTTGGTGAAGCTTTCTAATGGCGAATACATTGCCCTTGAAAAACTTGAATCCGTTTATAAATCAACACTTTACGTATCAAACATTTGTGTTTATGGCGATTCATACCAATCTCGTCCAGTTGCTTTGATATTTCCTACTGAAGCTCGTCTTCAGGAACTTGCAAAGGAAAAGAATTTAGAAAACTTGAATTTTGAGGAATTGTGTACAAATAAAGAGATAAAATCTGCTGTTCTTCAAGCTTGTATCGGACAAGCCAAAAAAGCAGACTTAAAACCTGCAGAAATACTTACTGATATCGCATTAGTACCTGATGAATGGACTGCTCAAAATGTAAGTTTTATTTAGTTTGTTTCTTTTGTTATAAAATATATTTTTTTCTAGTTTGTTTTGTTATAAAATATATTTTTTTCTAATGTATATTTCTATAGGGTCTTTTAACCGCCGCTCAGAAAATTAAACGCAAAGATATCCAACAAAAATATCAGAAAGAAATAGATCATATGTATGGAAAATCATAATTTAGATAATGGATTTTTCTATAACCATGGAATAATTAGTAATAACTTCAGCCAACTTAATTATAAAAAAAATATTTTCTCATTTTTATTAAAAATAAATAAATTTTAGTAATTTAACGTCTTGGTTATTTTTTTTATTTTTATTATTTATATTTTTATTTTTATTTTTATTTTTATTTTTATTTTTATTTTTATTTTTATTTTTATTTTTATTTTTATTTTTATTTTTATTTTATTTTTAATTTTATTTTTTTTGTACAAAGATTTACTCTGCATATTTAATATGAAAACTTAATTTCCACGATCACAAATAAAGCGCAGTACTTATAATCCGACATAGTTATCACACTGGTATCGATGTCACATAAACGTTTGAATACAAAAATAATGATTATTTAACTTTCGCATTTAGATCTATATACTTGAACTTTATTTTGACAGTCATTTACTACCAATAGGTAATTCATAACTTATTAGATCTGTTTATTGGCGAAATATGTGACCGATTACTTAGCAAGATGTCTATAGTTGTTTTTGTATTAGTATTTTTATATTAGTTCCGTTATAACAACATAATCGTAAGAATAAAGTGTATTTAGGGACCTGTGAAGCACAATACTGTTGAACTTTTTTTTATTTACTTAATTTACCAACCTATATATACTCCTCTAATTTTGAAGAATTGGAATAATACTAACCAATTTCTTGTATTCCTATAAATTTTTTCTTTGATTGCAGGTTTTAGATTTTTAATTAATAGTTTATTAATATTGCAAAAAAAGATCGATTTTAAATATATTTTTTATTATTTACCGACTTCCTTTAACTCGAAACCCGGTAAAACATACATAAGGTAAGTTAGTGAATTAACATAGACTTCAACCGAATCTAAGTTAATACATGATTCATACCTTCATAGATGACTAGTGAAAAAGGAATTGATAGCGAGGATCAAACAACGCCTGATAACCTGGAGGACACTGATGAAATTAGATGTATTTGTGGCGATTCTGATGATGATGGATATACCATTCAATGCGATAATTGTTTTACTTGGCAACATATTAAGTGTATGAAAGTTGATCCTAATGTTAAAGAATATAAGTGCCATAATTGTTCTGATATAAAGGTAGAAAAATCGTTAAGAGACGGTAAAAAATCAAAAAAGTATCAGAAAATTCGTCGTGAAACTGACTCAGGAGTGTATTCTTCTCCCGCTCCCCAAATGAGTGAGTCAAGTATCATAGGCACATCTAATAAATCACGTAATAGGTCTTCTGATTTATCGTTCGTTATAAAAGAGCGTCAATCAAGTCATTCTAAGGAGTATGAACCCATAGAAAAAAATATTATTGCATCAAAGGCAGTAGAAGAACTTTTCCCTAAAATTTATTCACAGTATCAACATAGAAAAAGGTCCATGTCACTTTCATCAACATCTAAAACAGACAATGAACATAATCGTGATGATAATCAAGAAACGTTATCTATACGATCAACATCACCTTCTTTAGAAATCGGCAATCCATTTAATATGGAAAAAGAATCTTTGGCTCGCCCGTTCATGAAAACGATTGTTAAACAAGTTAGATCTAAAATGCTAAAGAAGAATTCTAATTGTTACGGACTATTTGCCGAGACCAATATTTCTCCCGGGCTCTTCATTGTCGAGTTTAAAGGTGAAGTTTGCCTAAAATCAGATTATAAAGCTAACGAGAGCAATCAATATTCCTTATTGGGCGTTACTCAACCGTTTGTTCTCTTTTATCCTGTATTGAATCTTTGTGTTGATGCTCGTCGAGTCGGTACTGAGGCAAGGTTTATTCGTCGGTCATGTCATCCTAATGCCGAAACTCGAACTATAGTAGTGCCAGGTGGTGATGAAGTACATTTAGGAATTTTTTCCAAATTTGAAATTTTGAAGGGAAAAGAGATAACAATTGGCTGGGATTGGGAATCTAATCACATTGCTAATAGCCTAATACAATTGCAAGATTCAGTTTCTGAAAACGATGATGACGAGAATACTCTCGCAAAAAAGAGAGACGAAATTGGGAAGACAACAGCAGCGATTTTACGATTAACAGAGTGTGCATGTGAAAATAAGGACGATTGCATTATTTATAAAATGCAAAATGAAGGGAAAACATTAAGTAAATCTAGAAAAAATAAAAAGTTAGTAATGGATGTTGAGGAAATGTTAATTGAAGGAGAAAAAGAAACTTCTCCGGGAATAAACGATGAAGACTACGAAGATGATATGGATAGTTCACAAAAAAAGCGTGATAATGTTAGTTTAACACGTAAAATTAATCGCAAAGGCAAACAAAATGTTGAATCATCCCTCAATGGAAATAATAAAAATTTCTCAGAAGATAATGAAGTGTCCAATCAAATAGGACGTAAAGATAAAAAAAGGGTGAAAGAATCAGATGCAAAATCTGACAACATTGCACCATATAGTCAAAAAAATAAAGGAAAAGAATCTGCTAATCGAGTTCGGGAAGAGACATCTGGAAATATTAAAAGAAAATCACTGAGCTCTCGAAAATCAACGAGTAGTAGGCATGCACGTTCATTATCTAGTTCAAAGCGGAGGCAGCAACATGAAGATGATGAGGAACAACTTTCAGATTCATCTTTATCGTCAGTAAATTCTGAAATGTCTCTTGATGATGACACGTCGATTGTAGAAGTATCTCCTCCTGCTGATAAAAACATCCCTAATGAACACATCAACAAGGAAAATAATGAGGATCAATTATCAGGTTCGAGTCACACAACATTTTCATACAAGAATTAATCGGACTTGGTTTATTTATATATTCTCTTTGTTCATTAATATTTAACGTATTTTAAACTCTTGATGGCTTATTAATCTCATGAAAGTTTTATACGATCCTTCCAACAAAATAGAACATTCCATAGAAACAGAGGTCAATGACATATTGTTACAGTCATCAGCCACTCCTCCGCGTCCACTTCCGCCTGCAATAAGCCAGATACCTTTTAAGGATTATCTTATTCAAATGCATGAATGGAAAAAGGCTATCGAAGCAATATCTAACTCGGCATCAACGGAAAGTGATAGACCATCTTCGCCTATCCTTCATGAATCTAATATGGAAACGACTTCTGAAAATGTAGAGCCGGAGAATATAGGGAAATCTAAAGGACTAAAAAGTCATGACGAGGATTTAATTACAGATAAAGACGAGGAGATCGATCATGATCAAAGATTAGTACCATTACCGACACCTATTATACCGGCAAAACGAGTAGCATCTAGTCCCGGCCCCACATTGAACAATCAGAATGGAAAATATTTATATAATGAGAATGGGTCAGATATAAAGGGTAAACGCCAAAAGACTGAAGAATTACAAGGTTTGTCCAAGGGAAAAGGCAAAGAGACTGAAATTGAAAAAGAAGAGGTGCAATCTTCAACTCCAGATAATCGCGATAGTGTTGAAAGTACAATTTTGATAAAGACTTCTGGAGATTTGAAAAAACAAGTAATGGATTCTTCAATCACTCATAGTTCAACAAACGAAACTTCTAAAACGATGACCTCAAAGCCTAGGAAGTTGTCTCTTAATGAATATCGAAGTCAATTAGCCATTACGGCATTAAATAAAGAGACGTTAGAGAAAAAGTCTACTTCAGAAGATTCTAAGTCACCAATATCATCCGCAACAGAGATTGACAAGAAAGATAATAAAACTATTGATAATAATGACACATCGTCCTCATTGCCTGTGAACGCTTCAATTAAAACAAAACTTTCATTGAAAGAATACCAAGATAAGATAAGATTAGCGGAATCTTCTAACAATAGCAGTGTAGATGTTACGAAAAAATCCATAGATCTAGTACCTACAAATACTGAAGAACTTAAACAAAAGTCAGACGTAATTGAAAACAAACAGATAAATGAGCAAACAAAATCTGAGGAAGTTGTGGATTTAACCGTTATTAGTACATCACCGAAATCACCAAAGCTACCTAAAACCGAGGATAATAAATCATCTTTGATAAATGATGGATATTTCCCCGACGTTGACTTTCGATTTGATTTCCCTATTACGCCTTTAGATACTTCAAAGGATATTAATGCCTTCACTACTAATGAATTTGGGCGTCACGCTAATTCAAGCCATTCTGACGGTTCATATGAAGAAACAAGAGGAAGGCATTCACCATATAAAGATTATTCGTCTATGAAATCTTCTGGCAATTATAATTCTTCTTATAATATACCTTTGGGTGATACTTCTATGCAAACAAGTCCTCGTCCTGAGCACACGTCTCCACCACGAGGACCTCGTTATTATGGTGGTGGTCATTTTAGAGGGAATCGCATGGGAGGATCATACCGGGGTATGTCTATGTCACCAGGAGATCGCGGTCGTTATCACAGCGGATCTGGATATTTTAACTCTGCTGGATCTTTGCCAGCTACACCGAGACAAGGCGCACAGTCTTCAATTATGACATCATCTGCTTCTTCTCCTTATGATCCGGCAAACCCAGACGGACAAAGTGCAAACACATCTAATGAACGTGATCCGATTTTAGATAATAATAGTATTATGGGAAACAATTCTGGAAGTGGAATAGCAATGGAATCAAAAGCACGAGATTTTGCGAGATCGGGTGGAGATAGGTCTGATTTACGTGACAGATGGAGCTATAATAATTATGCTAGTATGGATCGATCGCGAGAAAGAGAGTGGCGAGAACGAGAAAGAGATGATGGTAGGAAGGATTGGAATAACAAAAGGCTGGACCATTATAGAGAGAGGGAATACACTGGTACATCAGAGTTACCACGTTATCCTATGATGGTTACGAGAAGACATTCGAATCAAGATAGATACATGATAGGAGGATCAGGTATGTAATTACACATATAACTTTTAAAGCAATCCTATTTATCGTTTATTTATCGTTTATTATCACTTGTTATTTACAGTACCTACCGGTCCAGCCGCTGGTATGAATCCTAGTCCATCAGGTATTTCTAAAAATAGTGAGCAGCCTTCCTCATCGAATAATCCCTCTCAAAGATTTGGCGTTGATGTAAGTTAAATTTTATTGATGTTCGATAGTATTTTTATTTTTCTAAATAATTTGTTTGTTCCAACAGGATCATCGCAGAAATCGACGATAAACAATTTGACATTTCCTATCGTGAATTGTAATATCAAAAGTAATTGTTTTGACCAAATATCATCCATTTCAATCAACCTATTGTCTTTTAATCGTTCCTTTTCCCCTTCGAAATCTAATCAAGTAATGTATATAACTTTTCAACGCTTTTATCTTATTAATTCGCAATAAGTCAAGATTTTTTTTTTATTGGGGAAAGAGTAACAGAATTAAAAATTGCATGTGACGAAATTATTTTTTACATTATTACATTCTTTGATAACTATAAAGTATGCAACTGTTAAAATTAAAAATGTAAATGTTAAATTTAGCATTACATCATCTGTCAATTGTTCCGTAACACTCAAAAATTCAATGATCGGCGTTGCATGAGCTGTCATTGCGAAATTTTTTTCGGTGTTAACGTGGCGAATTTTTATTTGCTGTCATAGATTTTGATTGATCGTCCAGCATCTTTAAGGACACGAAAAAAAAAAAAATTTCGGTTTCTTAGTTTTCTTAGTATTTTTGTATCATGTATTGTTCAAAGCTTGGACGTTCATTTTTTTCTCGTCCAGGTTACAAGCTTGGAAGTTGTTTGGTATTTATATATTTTTATGTTTTACGGAATATTTGTACTTAATAATATTTACATTAAATTTAAAGCATGCAAAATAATTTTGTTTTACCATTTTAGAGATCAAATCCTAATTTTCAATATATAACTTCACGAGCTCAAAGGTAAAGTATAATCCGCATTTTGTAAATTATTATCGGTAAATGAAACTTATTTCTTTACATGAAATCTAAAGCTCTAAGATACAAGGAAATGTAATTGGTATCGATTTGGGAACAACTAATAGTTGTGTGGCAGTTACAGAAGGAAAGACACCTCGCGTTATTGAAAATGCTGAAGGAGGTCGTACTACACCTTCTACTGTTGCTTTCACTAAGGATGGTGAATTATTAGTTGGTTTACCTGCCAAACGTCAGGTATGTAATTAAAGAAAAAATAAAGTGAAATATTTATAATTATTATGATTTCTGATAGAATTATAAGTAAGCAAGAACAAAAAAATTTTTATAAATTGTCTTAGAATATCTCCTTTTTTTTTATATTTTTTTTTTTAATTTTGACTTTTGTGATATGTGATACAAAGCTGTGTACCGATTTTCGCATATAAAAATTATACTCACTAATTATAATTTATAGGCTGTTGTAAATCCCGAGAATACATTCTTTGCCACAAAACGATTGATTGGTCGAAGATTCAAAGATGCTGAAGTACAACAAGATTTAAATCATGTTTCATATAAAATTGTTGAGCATACAAATGGTGATGCGTGGTTAGAATCTCGCGGAAAAAAATATAGTCCTGCACAAATAGGTGCTTTTGTTGTTGGTAAAATGAAAGAGACTGCAGGTAACTCTACGCTTAAGAGTTTTGTTTTTATAATTATCTAGTGAACTTCTAAATTGACAAGTATTATTTTTTTTAATACTAAATTTTAAAAGAGGCTTATTTGGGAAAGCCCGTAAAGAATGCAGGTACAAATTTAAATTATTATTACTTTTCATAAGATTTATTCATATTAACATAATTAAGCCCTATTTTTCTTTAAAAAAAAGTGATCACTGTTCCTGCATATTTCAATGATTCTCAACGTCAAGCTACCAAGGACGCTGGCCAAATTGCAGGTCTTAATGTGTTACGTGTGATCAATGAACCCACCGCTGCTGCACTTGCTTATGGTCTAGATAAAGTTGGTGATAAAGTAATTGCAGTTTACGACTTGGGTGGTGGTACATTTGATATCAGTATATTGGAAATCCAAAAGGGAGTTTTTGAAGTAAAATCAACGAATGGAAACACTCATTTAGGTGGTGAAGATTTTGATAGCGCATTGGTTAAATATTTGGTTGATACGTTCAAAAAAGAGGTATGAATTGATTGAATTTAACTTGTGTTGATTTATATTCTAATTAAATAATCTAACTACATATTAATTTAAAGCAAGGAGTAGATATATCACAAGATAGAATTGCTATTCAACGAATTCGCGAAGCAGCCGAAAAAGCCAAAATTGAACTTTCATCTACTATACAGGCAATTAATCAAATCACATAAGTTTCTAAGCGGTTTGAAATATATTAGAAGAAAATACTTATTCTAAGTATTTGATACTAGACGGATATAAATCTTCCATTTATTACGGCTGATGCGACCGGGCCAAAACATATTAATATGAAGCTTACTCGTTCTACTTATGAAGCACTTACAAAAGAACTTATTGATAAAACTATTGAACCTTGTAAGCTTGCTTTAAAAGATGCTAATATTGAAACCAAAAACATCAATGAAGTTATATTGGTTGGTGGTATGACACGAACGCCAAAGGTTATCGAAACGGTAAAAGCATTATTCGGCCGTGAACCATCAAAGAGCGTTAATCCTGATGAAGCCGTTTCTATCGGAGCTGCAATTCAAGTAAATTTATATTAATAGATATCTCAATTATCCTTACGTCTTTAAAAAGTTTCTTATTTGTAATTTAAGGGCGGTGTACTTGCCGGGGAAGTTACGGATATTTTGTTATTAGACGTAACACCGTTATCACTTGGTATTGAAACTCTTGGTGGAGTTTTCTCTCGTCTAATTAATCGAAATACAACAATTCCCACCAAGAAATCGCAGGTATTTTCTACTGCTGTAGACGGACAAACGAGTGTTGAAATAAAGGTCTATCAGGGCGAACGAGAATTGATCCGTGATAATAAGCTACTTGGAAACTTTCAATTAAGGGGGATTCTCCCGGCTCCTAAAGGAGTCCCCCAAGTTGAAGTTACATTTGACATTGATGCTGATGGTATATTAAACGTTTCTGCTCAAGACAAAGCTACGGGCAAAGATCAATCTAGTAAGCTAAAATAAAAAATTTTATTTGCTATTACTACGCTTTTCACCAAAATCTAATTAATTTTTGTGACTATTAAAGTTACCATTGCTGCTTCTTCTGGATTAAGTAAAAATGAAATTGAGAAAATGATTCTTGAATCTGAACGGTACGCTGATGCAGATCGGGAGAAGAGAGAAGTTATTGAAGCATCCAATCATGCAGATTCCGTAATTCATGAAACTGAGAAGAATATGGAAGAATATAAAGACCAACTGGATCAAACAGAATCCGAAAATATTAAAACACAGATTCAATCATTAAAAGAGATTGTAGCTAAAGCACAAACTGGTGAAAGCACTCTTAAAGCAGATGAAATTAAATCTAAAGTTGGTGAATTGCAAATAGCAAGTTTGAAATTATTTGAAATGGTGTATAAGAAGGTGAGATATAATATTTTTTACATGTATTTGTACATCTATCCTTTAATGTATTAATAATTACATAATTACATACATTCTTTCTTTTAAAAAAAAACCAAAAAAAATCTAGCGTGAAGCCGAAAATCGTGGAAATAACAGCAATGAAAATGGCGGTGCAAATGAAGCTGAATATCGGGATGTTAAGGGGGATAATAAAGAATAAATATACCGTAGCTTATCACTTAGTTAATAAAAAAGGAACATTGTAATAAATTATTTTAATTCAGAAACATAAAATCATGGTCGCTACTAAATTCATTGTAAGTTGCTGTTGTAATTATAATAAAATATCACGGAAAAGTGAAACTTTGGTACATTATGCAGATGATAAAACTTTAACAGATGTAAGATTTTCTGACTGTTCTCATGACCCCTTCGTATTATATACCTTGTATAGTACCCACTTTATTACGATATAATTATATCCTGTTATAGTATCCCTGAAATTACTTAAATAGGGGCCCTTCTAAAGCAGGGGATATTACGCACTTTCTTGCGACAGTGGCTGGTAACATTCGTAACATTCCTCAAAGTCTTGGGACTACAGTTAACCTCAATATACCAATAGTTTATATACTGATAATTGGTAATATATAAGAACATATACAAATATTTTTGGTCAATTAAAAAGTTAACCATAAGGATGGCAATTGGCAAGAACTAGATTTTGGCCCACATTATAATTTGCTAACAAATTACATTACTTATATAGTAAAAAATGGTGCAGTTAGATCAAGTACTTCATGCTAATCCTCTTTACTATAGCTTCCAGCAACTTTTTTGGTACTAAAAAGAAAATTCAAATATCAATCCTGGAGGATCAGCCTACTTTCTTCTCTCTTTGAATGTGGTTTATGTTCTAATGCCTTTTAGCTTTATAACTCATCAGCTACTTTACTCTATTATATAAACTTAAAATTTTCTAAAAAAAAAATAATCTTTAATTTATAATCTATAAAATAGCTGGTTTATACAGCTTAAGCTATATGATTTTATATAATCTTTTATTATATAAAATAAGCATATTCTAGCAGATACTTATTCTGATTAGCAATTTAATTGAATAAAATTGTTAGAAGCATTTAATACTATTATTTTAAAGTAATATATTATTTATATTTAAAAAAAGTTTTTACATTATTTTTAAAGTATTAAGATTTTGCACTTTTATTATTAAAAATTATTTAATATTAGGCAATTTCTATTTGTACATGAAATGTTTGAACCTGAATTATGTGATTATTGCCATTTTAACTAATAGTATAAACTTCAAAATTAGTAGATAAATGGATTTTTGCCTGCTATACAAGTTTACCTAAGGCATCAAAGGTGCTTTTGAATGCCAGTTTTGACTTTACCTATGAATAATTGATTTTGCTGATTATTCTTAAAAAAAATTTAGAAAATAACTGGTAAAAACAGTTTTTCATATATAAGTCAAAAACAGCATTCAAAACCCCTTTTAATGCCTTAAGTAAACTTGCAGAGTAGTCAAAAATACATATATTATATAGAAAAAGTAAAAAGGTGTGACATTGGTGTTATTATATTTTATATAACCCATATTCAAATACCCTGTGTAAACTTTGAAATTTTCTTAATATTAATATTAAAAACAAAAGTACAAAGTATTATATTAGCTTTAAAAATAAATTTAAAGTTCTGCAATTTAATTTGATATTTGACAATTAATTTGAATTTGATTTGAATTTAATTTGAATTTAATTTAATTTAACAAATTCAAATTAGTTTTATATTCAATTTAATTCAATTTTAAGAAACTCTAAAGATGAGTCTAAAAGAAATCTTATGCTGATATTATAATTTCTTTAGGTTTGAAAAAAAAGTTAAAATTATTACAACTGATGACAAGATTAAAAATAAAGCTGTAAGAATAATAATATACAAAAAAATGTTGCAGTATCTGCCTAATATCATTTAAAGCAATTTGTAACTTCAAATTAAGTTAATTACTTATAGTAGCAAATAATATTTCTAAATTAAACAAAACTCAAATTCAAAATGTTATTATAGATTATATAAATAATTAGATTTATGTAATTTCAAAAACCATTTATACTAATAATTTTTTTTTTTTTGTTGCTGCTGCACATTTATTAGTTTATTAAAATAAAATTCATGTCAATACATATATGAGTAATACAATATAAATTTAAACTAATTTAGTAATTAATAAACCACTCGTCATCTTACAAGAGGACCCCACATGTGCACTATCAGGTGAATTTAGGACTATGAGAGTAAGTCCAATGTAAAATTGTCCTTTCTTAAAGAATACGCCCCTCCTCTCAGTCTCAGCTCTAGGAAAATTCAGCAAAACCTACTATGATATAAACAAAAAAAAAAGGATTTTAAAATAAAAAATTCAGGGTAAAAAAAAAGGGTTAATATTATATAGACTAGATGGTAAGTACACCAACATCCCAAAACTCCTATTTGACCTAGTCCTCCCATCAGTTGACTAGTGATCTTAGCAACACCCTAATTTCAGCTAAAATTAATAACTTGTTATTGCCGTCAAAGCCTTTATTATTCGAAGTAGATTGCTTTTTTTTTCCCCAAAGACTTCCCCTTCTGTTTCTGTTCATTTATATCTTTCTGCAAAACATTCAGAATCTTGTTTTAGTTCTGCTTCTGACTAGAATCTGTCTTTTTTGGTGGCTTATTTCTAGGCCAATTCAAGGTGGGCGAAAAATATCAAGTCCAAACACCTTTAAATTCTTCAAAGTTAAAATCCGTATTAAGTGCTTTATCCAAGCTAGCCTATTAAAGTGTCAAAATACGCAATAAACTTCCTATGCTCACGGTCTTGAATAATCTTAAAAGCTAAAGCACCATCTAGTTGCGATAGCATCGATTGGGTTGGATTCTCCGCATTGTAAACTACATTATTAGTAATGGATTTGAAAATATCCATAACTACAGTCTAGAATCTCTTACATTCTTTACGCTACTTCAGAGTTCAGGACGCAGAGAACTATTATACAGGCATTCCTCCAAGCGGAGCTGTCCAAACTATACATGAAGTTGAAATTAAAGCCCAAAAGTAGAAATATTTCGACTTGAGAAGGTCAAAAGTTGAAATTAAAGTTGAAATGGTCGAAATTACATCATAGTCATGTATTTTTTATAATTATAATTTAATATAAAATTTTAAACGTGAATAACTCCGTCAATATTGATGCTACAGATATGAAATACATATCATTAGAATCCTCTCGATGAGCTGAATCCAACCGCGTAAAGATCATAAAAATTGAATCACTGGATGCGGAGATGAATTTTAAAATTATTGTTTACTATAAAAATTATAAGACTATTTAATACCAAATTTTAAACATGAATAACTCCGTCAATATTAATGCTACAAATATGAAATACATATCATTGGAATCCTCTCGATGAGCTGAATCCAACCGCGTAAAGATCATAAAAATCGAATCACTGGATGCGGAGTTCGTTAACTTTGAATTTTAATATTATTGTTTACTATAAAATCATATGACTATGACGTAATTTCGACCATTTCAACTTTTGGAGGGGCTCAAGTTGAAATCATTTCGACCATTTTAACCATTTTGGAGGTCAAAATTAACCAATTTCGGTTTCATGTATAGTCCAAACTCCATTATTCCAATTTGTCAAAGCCCACTTGTTGAAGTCAATAGACACAGTCACAGTCGAATACTTCTTTTTAAAGATGGTCATCAGTCCTAGAAGACCGCGGTCCTACGGTCCTACACCATAAAAAGACGGACTGGTCCGTCTTAGTGTAGGACCGCGGTCTTTCGGTCCTGTATCACATATAGTAAGACCGTCGGTCTTTTTAAGGACCGCAGTCTTTTTAAGACCGATCGGTCTTTTTTCTTTTTTTTGCAAATAAAAAAAGATTTTCTTCCCTAACTTTATTAGGAATAGCCTTGTTTTATAAATGAACACTAATTGGGATGATTTTTAATATAAATTTTTTTTTTACAAATCACCTGGATATCATCACAACGTCATGCAAAATTTAAAGCTTTGAGAAAAAATACTTCAAAACGCAATATCTCGCTATCCAGTGATTATAAAAGGATGATTTTACCACCATTCGAATCGTCTCGCTGCGGCGCGTCGAATGGTATCAAAATCATGATTTTAGAATCGATAAAAAAAAAATTACGTCGGCAAAACTATTTGATAATAAATTCAATAATTACCGACTATCTATCGATCCTAGAAACATGATTTAGTCACCATTCGACGCGTCTCGCTGAGACGATTCGAATGGTGGTGGTTTCATCCTTTTATGATCACTGGATGACGAGATATTCCGCTTAAACGCTTTTTTGGAGTTTCGGAGTATCAGCGTTTTGACATGCAACTCTACAAGTGGGAAGAGTGATTGTTATTATTTATTGGTTTGGAAATGGCCGGTCTTTATATTATTTTATGAAGATATTTGTCAGATTAATAGGTTTATTCAATATAAAAATCATTTATTATATGAAGACCGGTATGAGGACTGGTCGGTCCTCAGGACCGGTCCTACTGCGCCACAAAAAAATGCAAGACCGCGGTCCGGTCCTACAAGTCCTGGGACCGACCGGTCCAGGACCGAGTAGGACCGGTAGGACCGATGACCATCCTTACTTCTTTTGCGTCTTTACTTTGAACGCAATTACCTAATTCCATTTTCCTAGGTTCGTAAGGATATCAAGTTGCGGCATGGTGGAGGAAATATTATAAATAACTATCTCATGAACGTTAGCCTTATCTTCTGGCATATATCCGGTTATAACAGTTGAAATTGTTTTCTCCAGTGTAAGCTTAGACTTCTTAGTCTTCTGCTGCTATGATTTAATGTTAGTACTACCCTTCTTAGAAGTAAATTGGGTGATCTGTTTATCCTCAGGAGAAGGTGACGTAGGCCGGAAATCGTCAGAACCAGAATCTTTTGCGATATCGGCATATGTCATGTGCTTCTTTCCTCTTGGGTATACGGCTGAGCTTGTACATTAAGTTTTGTTTGTATCACAGAAAATATAACCGGTGATTGGTGTTTAGGCTCTTCAATAATTTCCATTTCCATCAGAGTGAAATCCGGTATTCCTAGAACTCTATTGGGTTTATTTATTATTATTTGCATCTCACGTGATGCCTTTTCTTTTTTTCTCATGTAATCCTTTACCATCTCATAGAGAAGGCATGTATACGTGTCTTTGAAGTTAATAGCAAAAAAAAGAAAAGCGTTAAAGCTGTCTTTGGGTATATTTAGTTCATAGAACTCGTCAGAATATGTAGTTTGTAGTCCTTCCAAATGTTTGTATATAGCAGGTTCGAAATCTGTAGCAGTTTGATAAATGCCAGTTGTACTAGTCATCCTAAAAACTTGCAATGTTTGTTCTAGTAAGGAAGTGAACATCTCTTCGTCAAGTAGCTTGAGGAAGTTTCCAAGTTCTTGTAAATTAAAGTTGTTAACAGTAGAAGCCATTTTTTATAATAAGTTTTCAAAAAATATTATTGCTGAAATTTCGTTAAAAAATGGTCTATGTAATTGGTGGAAAAATTTATACTAATAATAACAATTAGAATCATATAATTACCAAATCATTTATACTAATGGTAACAATTAGAATTATATGATTTGGTAAAAATAATTTCATTAGTCATACCTTAAGTAAGTAAAACTAATCCAACTTATAATTACTTCTATTTTCACAACAAAATATTGAATCAATATTCTAATATATAGAGAGAATTTAATAGTGAAAATTTTGATTATTATAGTATTACTGATAAAATATCATATTTATTATGCAAATTAGATTATGATAATAAAAAAAGTATAGAAAGTAGGTATAAAGTTAAATCTTATTTTATTAACCCTATAAAAAGTTTTTATACTTAAAATATACTTAAAATTTTATTAAAATATACTTAATTGCCAATCTGCCTAAAATCGGCATTGCATTACTAATAAAATTCAGGGATAATAGCGATGTAAACAGTCAAATATCAAGCACGAGAAGATGATAAAATTCAATCACCAAATGTAATTGCCAAATATTAAGAACGAACAAATTAATTATGAATTGGCGTAGATGGATAAATAATTAGCCGAAAAGGATAAAAATTTAAGAAGAGCAATGATCTACATGATGTAATATTTATTGGATGATTAACAAAGAACCAATAGAATAATTAGAGTCAATCAATTGCGGCTTAGCAATCTTTAGCAATAAGAACAATTAGAAAGAATAATTATAAGACACAAAAGGTAGATCATATAAAATGGAGGGATAGCGGACTAAAGGAACACGCATAACGAAAGTACATACATTCATTCTCATGTTTTATTATTTCTTGCGGACATTTATCTTTCTTTCTTGAAAAACTCAAATTTAATATTTCTTTAATTTCACTAATTTCTAAAAATTCATTTTTATTCTTATATTTATGATTTACACAAAATGCATCACAAAATTTACAATATATCTTAAATTTTACTTCCATAAATAATAATATAAAAAGATAGCATAAAGATGGAACATAAAAGATAACATATTAAAAAGAACATATATAAAAAGATAGCATATTGAAAGATAGCGTATTTAAAATATAGATAGCATATTAGAAAGATAGTTCAAAGATAATATGTAAAAAGAACATAAAAGATAGTATATAGATAGAATAGAAAGTAGCATAAGATTTGTATAAATAGAGAGCGGAATTCAAAGTAATTCCAC